TGTTGCCATTGTGCTGATTATTTCCAGCATATTGTTTTAACTACCACTACTGTGTCCAACTGAGTGTTGTCTTCGGTGTTTGAGCTGGGCTCCCATTACCTACATTACTTCCTGGCATAGAATTCCAATCTCTGCACTGTCAGCCATATTTCACTCTTCTTTCCTGCAACATGCTTTCCTAGTTCCCTACTCCCTAATTGACCAACTGTTGCTTCCCTAACACATTTGCCATGTCTTCATTTATTGCTTTGATGCTTCAACAAGTCCTGTTGTTCTTTACTCCTGTTTTGTCTTATTTGCTTTACAGCAATGATTCAGCTTTTTCCCAGCAAATATCTCCACAAACTAATCTCTCAAACCTCTTTCCCAATGACTGTCCACATCAAAGCATTATTTGCCTTGCAAACACCAGTCAATTCATTTCACCCAAAATAAAAAGGAGACTGGGGTCAAAAATGTTATTCATGACTCCTTGGCCTCTTCCAAAATTAACCCTAGCCTATTAGATGCCCTACAATACCCATCCCACTTTAAACTGGTACTACAAAGAAAGGTACCTCTGGGTTATTCCTCCCACCTCATTTTTTTCTGTTTGCCCCTTTGTCTCATCCTCTCAAAGTTTGCACGCAATTTATTTGTAGCAAACTGCCTGCTCATCCCCAGCTTTGCACCTGCTCATCCTTGGGTATTTCAACCTTCATCTTCCCTTCAACTCACGACTTCTCTGCTCCCTCGTACCGTTGCCTTGCTCATCGGAAGTTAAACGTATATTTGTTAACTGCATTACGTAAAGTGATGTTTCCTCAAACTCTTTTCTGCTGCAAGTTCATCCTGAGGTTTGAAAACAGTCATGAGCCCTTGAAGAACTGAGTGAATGGATTAGGGTGGGGGAGAACCTATGATCAGTGCAAGCAACAGAGTGGCTATTGCTACCACTGGAGTTTATAACCCCACACTTTTTTTTTTTTAAAAAAAATCCACGTGATGTGGGTGTCACTGACCAGGCCAACATTTATTACCTATTCCCAACTGCCTAGCGGGCAGATAAACACCAACCATATTACTGAGAGTCTGGAGTTATGCGTATGCCAGACCAGGTAAGGACATTAGTCAACCAGATGTGTTTTTCCTGACAATTGACAACAGTTGCATGGTCATTATTAGATTCCCAATTCCAGATATTTGTTGAATTCAAATTCCACCATCTGCTTTGGCAGGATTTGAACCAGAGTCGCTGGATTAATTGTCAACTGATAATACTATTAGGCCATCACTTTCCCAGGAAGATCCAACCATCAGTTTGTGATGCCAACACAAAGCTTTTAAATGTAGTTGACTATAACTTTACCCATTGTGTTATTTACTTATCAATTAACTGAAGATGCCACTTGGATAAAAATATATCTAGTACAAAGGATATTCTCAAGATTAGATCACTCCAGAGCACCTTGTAGCCAATGAAGTACTTTAACATGCAATCATGGTTGAAACAGAGCAGTCAATTTCAACACATCAAGCTCCTTCAAACTACTTGCTAACAAGCACAGTCTGTTTTCTGGTGTTGGCTGAGAAAGGAATTTCAGATGACACCAAGATCCTCTTATCCCACAACCAATTTCAGCAACATAAAAAAGTTAACAATACCGTCAATATTCAGGACAGGAGGACACAGTTCTCAAAATTTTAGGTTGAAAATTTTGTTTTTAAACTCACACTGGGGACACAAATTGAGTGAAAAGCATTTACCTGATAATAAACTGGTGATTCATCTGCAAAATGTCACAGTCAATGGAGATAACTCACTGAATGTTAAACCAGCAATGCTCCAAATTCTACAGCTATTAACAGATGTAATTTCTGAAGTCAACTGTATCACACAATGCACGGAAATGAAAGGTAAAAATTATTCAATTTATTGCAAGAAGTACAAAAGTAAAAAAAAAAAGAAAAAAGTTTACAGCACTGAACAGGCAGCTAATTAGCTACAAATTACTAACTAAATCTAATGATGCCAAGAAACTAGTCATTAATAACCAGCATGAAAAGACATGCTCTCTCCCAACACAACTCACTAAACAAGCCGACAACTCACTTCCATTTGGGAAGTGTTGAAAATTGCAAATATTCAATTCCGTTATTAGTTTTGCATTACCAGGGAAGCCATGAATAGTACAACTGGATGGCATTTGTACATAGTGGAATTACTTCACCAGGCACCACAGCTACAATGAACATTTAAGATTTTCTCTCCTTTGGGGTAAAGCAGCCAAGAAGCAGGAAATTTCCCTCTTCGCTCTCCCATCCTTCCCAATTCTCCCCCAAGAGGGATTTCAGTGTGTGGATAAAACAAACAAAAAAAGAAGTTTGTACCACAACAGCTTCATGTGTTTGTCAACACATCTTTCCAAAAATCATAAACCACTTTTAAGAAGGAAGGTTCTTTTTAGCAAGGTGAACCACTTTCCACTTTATCAGAGTATATGTATTTCTAAATTTGGACATTTGCAATTAACAAAAAGAAAACTGATGCTTAAAAAGGAGAAGTCCACCTTGACTCCCCATTCAGACTGTGAAAATTAAAATTGGCAGGCTTAGATTCCAGACATCTGGAGCTGGAAACCACAGGTAATCTGCACAGGCACGTGAAACACACTTGGTGTCAAATGGAGGTGATCACAGGCCACTTAACTTATAGTCTTAAGTAATATCAGTAGCTGTCCTTTTACTATGGAGAAAAATTATTTAAATAAATAAAAAATTTGCACAGAAGAGCACCATCTAATGCTCTGTTTCACTGTGCTATTTATTTTATTACACAAATTCACGAGCATTGAAAGATGTCAACGAGTCCAAAGTTATCCAAGTTACTTTATTTTCAAGACAGTCTGGTTGAATTCCATGCAATACTTACAGAAAAGAGTGCATACTCACAGCTACTGATGCAAGATACCATAAGCGCAACTTGCACCTGAAAAATTCTGTGGTACATTCATACCCAATTCCATAAAGCCTGCACCTTTGAAACCAGAAGGAGAAAAGGGGAAAAAAAAAAGGGGCAGAACATGGGCTAACTTGACACTTAAGCATCAGTTGCTGCAGGGAGACACCAATGTAACTGTAGTGCCACACAGGGTCACTTGTGTACCAGATTTTTAAAAAAGGATCAGAATAGAAAATGCACACACATCTCAGTACACTGATACTGTTGTTTTCAGGCGAGTAACTTACCAGGGTCTCAAAAAAAAAACAAACATTGGGAAGGTACAAGCAAACCTAGCTTTTGTAGCTGTTGATAATTACACCACAGCACTGCCAATTACAGAATGGAAAGTAGGCAGTTTGGCTGGCAAATCAGAGTGAGGGAAAAAATTAATTTAAAAATTAAAACCAAAGAAAGGGAGGCATATTTATCTAACATGTTACAGAACTGAATTTATTCCTGCACTCCAGCACAGACCAAAGTCTGGAAACTTCAGGACTGTAAATTCATAACCACCACACTCAAATACAGCTGCAAATTTAACTGGAATACAAAATTCTGTTTGAATTGCAGCCTGCCAATCTCTTCTAGCTTCTTTAAAAGAATGCGCAATTTGTCAGACAAAATGCAACCAGCCATTTCTCAACTCCTTCAGCACCAAGATGCCAATGCAATTTCACCTTGTGGAAAGAGGATGCAACACAGGGTAGTCACAGAAATACCTATGCACCATCAGTTTATTCTAAAGTTCTATGCCCCACAAAACTGCAGTATTTAAAACCATGACTAGATTGTTAAAATGGTTAAATTTATTGGTTTACTCATGTCAGCATCTTTCACCTCACCAGTAGTTCTGCTTAGACTGATTACGGGAGCCAAATCATAAGGGTCCTTCCAGCACATTGTTCCAAGGCATCCAAACTCTTAAAATTCAGTTCATTTGAAATGTATCTAGACAGACAAAGAATTTGAAGGAATAAGAGGTGAAAAATAGGGCAACTACAATTTTGATTCAACAAGGCAGCTAAGACAAGAAGAGAGAAATATTTTAGAGTAATCTGCATTTTTCCAGTTCCTCTCATCTCAAAAAAAAATTTAAAGGGTAACTTAGGTCCTGTTTTTTTTTAAAAAAAAAGATGGCTGCCAAAACTGGATTTGTAATCACAGGGTCACAGTTATGCATCCAGAGTCAGGAACATGGCTTTCTGAATGGCAGAAGCCACACCACTGGAGTGAGTTACAAATGATCACACTGTAGCATAAGATTGACACCAATGAGGAATTGTCAATACCGCACACGTTATGGTCAATCAGATCACAAAGAAGCAATGGAAGTGTTGCAGGTGGAGGATAAAGATTACAACTGATTACTAATAGCTTGGAATGAACACATTTTGGATATTGGTTTCAAATTTATAATAATAGAAGTAATGGAAAATCTGCTACGTACCAGAACTTAACAGATGGAAAATCTGACCAAAAAGGATATTAGAATTTAGGATATAATGTAATGAAGGTGCAGTATGCAGGTGTTAAAATGTAAAGTATCTAATGTGAACTGCTCACTAATATTACTGGAAGAATCAAAACAGGGTTATCACACAAAATACCAATGAATTTTCCAAATGCTCAAAGACTACTTGGTCTAGTAAACTGTTCTGGACCTAATCCTGTTGTGCCTTATGCTCCTAATAAAATACCTGAAATAAAAACTTACCCTGATCTTTAGAAGAGCAAAATGGTTAGTCAAATAATGAACAGTCAACAAGCCACTGGTAATTGAGGTCCCACCTCCCCTTCACTGTGGCAGATTCATTGCTCACAGTTCCTTTAGGTCTCAGTACTCAATTGTAATGCCAATTTCATTGTTCCCGTTATAGGAAAGGCAGCGAAGGACTATCATAAGCCTTGCATTTATAAATGACCGTGCCACACTGAAAAGTCTCAAAAGCACCTCTCTTGACCCTTAAAATCTAAGCAGAAGAAATATCCCAAATGGTTAGAATTTGGGCTGATAAAGTTAGTGCACAAAGATCACTTTATTTTTTAAAAAATCCAAAAGTGGACAGGACAGGGCAGGAGTGAAAAAGAGCAGATAATAGTTCCATTAGCTTATCAGAAGTGTAAAACTGAACCAAACACATAGCTTAATACAGACCACGAGTAGCAAATGGAAATGTGACTGCCATTAGGGCTCTGCAGAAGAAATCATTAAAACAAATTTTAATAAATTATTGGCAATGAGTTGGCCAGAGTGGGACATCATAAGGCACTTTCACACTGATGGGGTACTGCTGACAGCAACCCTCTTGCTGTCAACAACAATCTAACATGACCCACAATCGCAAAGGACCCGAATTCTTCATGGGATCTAAAGAAGAGGTCAGAAACCAAATAACACAAACATCTTTCAACAGACCTCTCAAAATAAAGCTGGAGATATGTGATTGCACTAAAAAGGGGAGCATGTGTTTTTCAAGAAGATCTCTTTCTACTGGAACATTGCTTCTCTGAAACATCAGGCAGTGTTGAAGTCCAATCTACTCAGGTCCTGTCCTGCCCTGTACTACTGGAACGTTTGGTCTTCACTAAAGCTGAGTGACACCTCAGGACTTGGTGAGCAGAACCAGATGGAAAAAAATCTGTGCACACTTCCGAAACAGACAGACGAAGGGTATTAATTTCACAATTTACACATACGCCATTGACCATATCATTTGGCCAGATCAGAACTAAAATTAGAAATAATTGTACCGGAGTGATGGTTTAAATGTAGCCATTTGAAGACCATGATTCCCAGCAATCCAGCTTGTTTACACCGCTCTTGGTGACCAATTAAAACAGCCAAATCTGGGCTTAAAAAGAAAATACAGAGAGCCCCAACACATTAGTAAGAAATGGCCATTACTGAAGCAATGGTAACACAATGGCCATACAACACAACTAAAATTAACTATCTGCGTGCATTGTTTAAATCAATTGCTTTGGAAACACTACTACGAGCTGCATATGTAATCGCGATCATGAAAGTACCACTAACATTTTTTTGTAATGAATTGGAAAAAGTTCGTTATAAGATGTTGTCCATTGCCTGTTCAGTGTGGAATTTTTTTTTTTTTTTTGAATCTTGTTGACCAGTGCACTGTAAACTTCAGCTGCCTTTGTTCAAGTGAAGCTTTCATGTATGGTTGCTCAGGCTACACAGCATCAGATAATCCGCGGGTTATATTCGGGCAACTTCTTAATCCTCTCTTTCTCTGCATCACTTTCATCTCTCGCTATCATCAACGAATGAGCATGGCCCATAGAAACCTGCAGGAAAAAAAAATAAAATTCTTTCCCTACAAAGCATCACTGGGCATAAAGGTGTTGAGTCGAAGAGGTCTATAAAGAGATGTGCATTTATCTTGTGTCAGAATGACTGTAAAATGCTGTGGGGCAATACACACTGAAGTATAGAAAATACAGCAGTTTATAGATACCATATTCCCAAAAAGCAGCAAAGTGATAATGACCAGGTTTTTTTTTGAAGTTAGTAATCTTGGTTGAAGAATAAATATTGATATTAAAATCAGGATAGAGGGAAGAACTGTCCCCATAAAAACAAAGCCACAGGATCTTTACATTTACCCAATGTAAACAGGATGGCACGGTGGCTCAGTGGTTAGCACTGCTGCCGCACAGCACCAGGGACCAGGTTCAATTCCGCCCTCAGGCGATTGTGTGGAGTTTGCACATTTTTTTACCATGTCTGCATATGTCTTCTCCGGTTTCCTCCCAAAGATGTGTAGGTTAGGTGGATTAGCCATGGAAAATGCAGGGTTACAGAGATGAGGTGGGATGACTTTTGGAGGGCCAGTGTGGACTTGGTAGGCCAAATGGCCTGTTTCCACACTGTAGGGATTCTATGAAATTGTAGCACTGTGTTCAACATTGTAGCATCAGCTATTATATTGTGAGATAACACATTGTGGAGTTGGAGGAGCGCATCAGAGGAGCAGGAAAGTTGACGTTTTGGATCAGGACCCAGCCTGCTATGGTCCTCCAGCTCCACACTTGACTCCACCATCGGCAGTTCTTACTATCTCCGAGTGAGCTATTATATTGTGCTGTGTTTTCAAATTTCTGGAGTGTGATTTGAATCCAAAACATTGGGATTCAGACCGGAGTCCTTTATAGCCAGAGTTGAAGCTGGGCAATCCCACTAACACCAGAGTCAAACAACATTGCTACAGTTTTGATCCCCTTACAACAAATATCGATTCAATCCCTTCACTGAGTGTTACCAATCCAGAATTAAGACTTCTAGAAGTCTCGTTATACATCCACCATCCTGTAAGGTGGGGTAGAGGGGAGAAAATATTTCAATTTCACTCGAGAGAATGCAATTCTACGCTGGAATTTCAACAGAAGCGATAAGATCCCAGACAAAAATCACTGCAGAGAGCTATACTGAAGAAATGGGATCTTGAATACACTATAGCTCAAAATGGAAAAGGAATGAGAACAGCTCACTCTCACCTGCTCAATATAAACTCCATCCAAGGTCTTTATCTCCTGTGCAGTGGTGGAGGATTTAGGTTTGTTGTCTCCATATCCCTGTAACATCAGTTACGGTTAAAATTCATACCAACAGCCTGCAGCTTTAACACTGCTGTACATAGGCCCATGTGGCAGGAACATTGTTGTTTTATTAAGGTGCATTTAAAAACAGGTCGCAACATTACATTTTAAAATCTAATAATGAATCTTGCCTGCCTCAGTCAGCCAATGGCAAAATCCATTTTAAATGGGTTAATACAAAATAAAAGTGCTGGAAAAAACTCAGCAGGTCAGGGAGAGAAAGAAACAAACAGAGTTAGCATTGAGTCCCACATACATTTATTCAGAACTTCATAGATGCTGCTAGACCTGCTGTTTTGACTTCAGATCTAAAGCATCCACCATATTTTGGTTAGCTGAATGCCTGGTTACAGAGCTAGTTGTGTCTGTAGGTGGCAATGCAAGTGACAGCTTCCAATGATAAATCCATCTCTGACAATAGTTTAAAAAGTAGCACTATGCAGTTAAGTGAATTGGCCTGCACTTTCAGAAATTGCCAGCAGGTGTCCTAAGATCAGCAACCTTTCCCTGCTCTGAACTGAACATTTCAGCTCCCTCCTTTTTGCAGTATGTCAATGGAACAGATTTGATAGGTCAATACCAAAAACCCCTCCATGGAATTCTCTGGACCTCTTGAAATACACAGCCTCAGTGAAAAATCTTATTCCTATAAACAGTGCATGCAGGGATGACAGTGACCACGTTTAACATTGCTGCTGAACATTACTCTCACACAAGATGATTCTCACAGCCTTCTCCCTTCACTCTGCGGCAAAAACTACAACCCCCCCCCATCCCACAACAACCTGTCAGCCCTCTCTCACTAAAAACCAAAAGAACTGCTGATGCTGTAGATCAGGAACAAAAAACAGAAGCTCAGGTCTGGCAGCATCTGTGAAGAAAAAAAAGAAAAAAAAGAGATCAGAGTTAATATTTCAGAACCTTTTGTGAGGAAGGGTCACTGGACCTGAAATGTTAGCTCTGACTTTTTTCTCCACAGATGCTGCCAGACCTGCTGAGCTTTTCCAACAACTTCTATTTTAGCCCTCTCTCACTCCTTCTCCCTGCTCCCCTAACCCTCCCAAACAAAAAGCAGGAACACTGACCTTTTGCCCAAGGTCTTCCCAAAAGGGTGGTGCATGTATGGAATGAACTGTTAGACGGAGTGGTGGAGGCTGGTACAATTATAACATTTAAAAGGCATCTGGATGGGTATATGAATTGGAAAGGTTTGAGGGCATATGGGCCTACATGAAATTAGGATATCTGGTTGGGGTGTGGACGAGTTGGACTGCAGCGTCTATTTCCGTGCTGTACATCTCTATGACTATAACTCTATTCACCACCCTGCTTTACCTACATGCACTTGGTCTGGCTATCCCAAAAGAAGCTAACCAAAGTTTGCTGTGAAACTTTATGGGATATAATAGTCACCAACCTCAAATTAACTTTGAACAAACTGGGAATGAAGACTCAAGAGACCTTTTTAAAAACAGGTAGAAGCCGGCTCAAGGTCCCTTGCAACTTTTAGACCACACAATGTGGCTATGAATTGCCTCAGCAACGGAGTTGTTTAAACCAAACTCTGCAGCCATGTAAAACTACTTTTATTCTGACAGTAAAGTTAAATAAATGTTTCCGGTGTCCAGGACTAAGGTTAAAATGGGCACTGCAGCAAAGACTTCAATCAAGTTTCCTGGCAGTGGGAGTCTCACTCTATATCAATTTCCAATCAGATTAGATCTTAACTCCAAGGTTGCTATTCTCCAAATTTGTTATTCATGGGTGGAAAATTAGAATGATTCTGAACAAATGCCAAACGTAGACAATAATACATCAAATATATTTAAGCAGCCCAGGAAATCTTTGGTTCAAATCCTTTTCTTGACTCAAAAGAAAATCCCAACTTCACTTTAATGTTAAATTGATGAGAGAAGTCTACAAAACTGTTATACATATGCAAACATCAAACTTATCTTTTAACTGTGAACATTTAGAGTAGATACATTTTTCAATTCTGCTGTCCTCGAAATCCACCAACAGCATTGCTTCTTGGTGACATTAATTCTGTGACTTTTTAAATTCGAGGGTGACATGCACCAACTTCCATGCACGTGATGAAGCTCAGTCTTGCTATTACCTTACCTCCCAATACAGTTCTTACCAATTCTCCAAAGGTAGGTGAAGGTCCCCAGCTGATTGTGCTCTCGTCAGCTGCCACAATTATGCTGCTTTTCCTGAGCACGAGAGAGAGAAATAAAAGACAATTTGATTCAGAAATATCCCACTTTCAGCCAGAGGTTTTTGCCAAGTGTTATTATCAAGCCAGAGACCTGATCTTGGGTACACACCCAAAATACCACAACAGGCCCATTCTCCTTGTAAATGCTGCTCAACTGGTTATAAAAAGCTACCAGCATTTATTGTTTTCTTCAAATTTCCATTCTAAACCCCTACCCATTAGATTTTATTTGCATTTGATGAGCATGCAAAGTTTAAAAGTTGAAATTCCTTGCAAATCTCTCATTTGTAGCACCATCTTCAACAGGAAGGAAACCAAATTCTATATTTGCAACTAAGTTGTACCGCTGCGAGGATAGCTATACAGTGGAGCCCAATATATTCTTAATATTTGTCTCCAGGTCACTTGTGACCTTTGATTAAACACACCAAAGCCATCAAACTGAGCAAAAATCAACACTTCTATTAAATGGGCACAGGCAGTGCATTGTGCACTAAGACAGACCAGAAGATCCCAGGTAGTTGAATCAGAAAAGACTGGAAGTATATAGAACGCTGCCAGACCTGTGGAACAGATAGAAACAGAGCTAACATTTCAGGTCAATGACCTTCCAACAGAACAGGTGATTAATGTTCTGATGAAAGATCACCAATCTGATGTGTTAACAGTTGTTTTTCCTTTAGATACTACCAAACTTGTTGACTATTTCCACATTTTCTGTTTTTATTTCAGATTTGCAGAATCTACAGTGTTCTGTTTTTGTAGAAAATCCCGGTTTTAAATTTTGCACGTTCCTGGTCTTGTGCAGGACAAAGAGTATGGGCAGTGCACAAGGTCTGAACCACTTTGGAGGAGGGAGATTAAATAAAATCAAATAAGGCTGATGCAGTTGATTGTATTTTGGGTGGGATCCAAAAATGCATTTGCTTATTGTCTAGGGTCATAAGGTTGGCATCCTCAGGAGAGGATACGTACGAGCATAACAACAGTGCATAGAGGCTGTGGATGGAGATGCCAAACAAACAGAAATTTAACTGGATCAGTCAAATAAATAGTGGTTACAACATCAAGTCAAAGGCAGGAAATGTCTCAACTGCTGATTCCTGAAAACAAAGCATAAGTCAGGAATGTGACAGAATACTCTCCACTTGACTGAATGATTGACAGCACAAAAACACTCAAGCAGCTTAAGACTATCCAGAACAGAGCAACCACTTGATTGGCACTCCACCCATCATCTTAAAACACAGTCACTCAATTTAGCACCAGTGTACGCTATCAACGAGCTGTACTGCAGCAAATTCCAAACCTGTGATGTTTACCACCCAGGACAGCAGAGGTATAGGAAAACTACCACCTTCAAATTCACATACCACCCTAACTTGGGAATATATTGCCTATTCAGAATTCTGGGCCATTCTTTCAAACATTACAGATCTTCTTAATATGGACTGCTGCGGTTCATCATTACATTCAAGGGCAACTAACGTTCATCTTGTAAATTAATAACATGGTATTTTAAAAAGCTTCCAAATCTAACACAGGACATTATATTCAACTTATATACATTCACTGTCTTCTTCCCCCACCCCTATCCCCAGCTTGTTCATCTATTCATCAGAAATAGCAAGGTAGACAACAGTTCCAGGTCTGTGGGGCTCAGCCAAGGCAATGGAGTCAAGGAAACATAACTAGCAGTCCTATATTTCACACTGCAATTCTGCAGCCATTTACTCACCCGCTGGACAGGCTTCGAACCTTCCACCCACACAGGTCCTGCACCACTTTGGGATACATCGTAGAGTCACGGGAAGTGTTAGTAGCACCCCAGAAAAACAAGCCACCTGATAACAAACAGGGGAAAGTGACTGGAATTACTGACCAATTAAATCTAAAAAGGCACGCATTGCCACAAGTGACCCAGTCCAAATTTGACAAAACAAGCCTGTTTATTACATACACTGTCTCTGCCTCATGGGTGTCAGGAAGAGCTTGTCTTGCTCAAGCATCTCAGAAACAGAAATTAGTGGAAAAGTAAACTTGTACTTGTGCTGCACTGTTTGCTAGAGAGACATCACAGCAATTAGTAATCACTGTGTAGGTTAACACTGCAGCCAATCTGTACACAAAACAAACCTAAAACAGCAAGTGAGATTAGAATGATCAATTAATCTAACTCAATGTTTAGTGGAGGATATCAGAAAACATTGCTCTTCAAATATTGCTGTCACCCCTCCACTCAAAGGGGACACTGGTATAAAGTACACCACTTCCAACTACACTTCAGTATAGCACTAAGAAGTAATATGTCAGTTTAAATGTGTCCTGAATGGAATTTGAACCACCAAATCTTGACTCAGGTTACGCGTGCCACCACTGAGCCTACCTAAACTGGACTGCAAAGATACTTCAATGCACAATACCTACAATTACGAGGAATGGTACGGTGTAAATTGTACACTTTCCAAAAAGCAAGTTTCATCATTACAAGTCGCTCTACTTTAAGGAGTTGAAATTGGATAACCCACCTACTAGCAGTCACATTTTTCTCCCCCCACCCATTTTGCAACAAAAAGATGAATGAGCTCCAGAATGACGTTGGAACAAGAAATCAGTAAGATCAATAGCCAAGCTGTACAGACAGCAGTAATGCCCTGCTCACAGAATTACATAGAACATACAACATAGAAAAAGGGCATTTGACCCAATTAGTGTATGCTGATGTTTATGCTCCACAGAAGGCCCCACCAAATTGATATTTCGCCACCATACAGAAGCAATTCACATTTCACAATCAGTCCATAGGAATAATGAAAACATTGTGCATTACTAACCCATTTCATTCACTGCAAATGAGCAGGTGTTCCCCGCACAAATCTGTACAGCACCTCGACCAGGGAAATCAAACAGCTTAACAAGGCGTGGAACCATTTCATCTTTCTGTTCAGAGTGTCCTAGGCGACCATATCCTCCAAATCCCCAGGTAAACACCCTCTTCTGCGAATCAAGAGCAATCTAGGAAATGCAAAAACAAATGAAAGAGAGCCATTCTTCAACATTTGAAAGGCTGCAGGAGCAGCTCCATTTAATTTATTCTGGAACGTATACTCGACCAATCTTCAGGATGGTCACCTGTAGTAATGACTGACATGGGCTAAAGCCAAACCAGTCAGTCAAAAACAAAAAAATCAGGTGTCATTATATTGACAAACATTATATTCAACTCAAAAAGCTTTAAAGACTGTTTCTCTCTTCACAGGGGCTACGAGACACACAGTTTCTCTAGTACTTCCTGCTTTAGTTCAGATGGACAGCAGCATCAGTTTTTGTTTTTGTTCAGGGATCACTGTGTTCAGAAAAGGGCAATGAGAATTCCAACAGAATGCTAGAATGCAGCCAGGAACAGCTAAACAGGAAGGAAGCCTGGTCAAAATTTGCAGGAAAGAAATAATGAATCGAAAATAGATCCCCTTCAATTAGAACAGTAGGGATGGACAGGTAGGGACAGATCCAAGTTAACTTTGAGGCAGACAACTCTTCTCGGATTCCAAAGCAGAGTCATATCAGCCTTGAAATGTTAAAACTTTCTCTCTCTGCACATGTGGACAGATGTGCAGAGTACCTCCATGAATTTGTTTTTATTTCAGATCTCCAGCATCTGAAGTACTTAGTTTTATGTTAGGGAATAGATCCAATTAACTGCAGCAAACTGAGGCTTAATGACATGCCAAGGGCATCGCCAATCCAAACTAGACTTGAGACTGTTGGCATTCTTCCTGAACCACTCCAATCCATGCAGTGAAGTCATTCCCACAGAGATACTTGTATTTTCAGGATTGCAACTGCGAAATGATGAAGCAGCGTCAATACAATTGAAATCTGGATAGCAGGTGGTCTGATGGGGATCTTAGTTAGTTCCCAAGTGCCAGCTAGCTCGTCCTTCCAAAACAGTGGCCACAGATTTAGGGATGCGCTACCTGGATTGGAGGGGAAAGATGGGCAACTGCGTAGAAGGCAGGACAACAAATTGGCTCTTTGCAAAAATTTAATGGAAAGCTGTATTACAAAATAAAAAAAACCACACTACAAAATATTTTCTACAAGGTCTTTCACTGATGAAAGAGAAAAGCAGAAAATACGTCACCCTTTATTCCACCCTCTGCATAAATAATTTTCTTTCTAAAAGACACAAATCCAATGACCGGGAGAATGAGGATTCAGGGGCAGAGAGGTTAGGTTACACAATAGTTATTTAGCAAGACAATCCCAAGCACAAATCAGCTTTGTACCGTGTGATTCGCTCCACAGGCCACTTCACGGACAACAACATTTGGCACTGGTAAGATCTGACCATCTTTTGTCTTCTCCAGGAAGATTGCTACACGCCGCGGCACCACTTCGCAATCAAATTCAATTCTCTGGGCCCGGGCAATGAACTTCCCATCAGAGTTGTGTCCTGTTTGAAAACAGTAATTAACATGGTATAATGTTCCATTCGGCTTAACAGGTCTGTGCTGGCACAACACATACCACCTCCAACTTTATTTCACCTTCCCCAACAGCATGCCTAAAGTCAGTTCTGATTTAGTATAAATGTATTTTAAAGGGAAACTAATTGCCTCACCATTCCACATGGCAATAATTTCCACATTCTCACCATTCTTTGGGAAAAGGATTTCTCTTCGATTTCTTAAAGGGTCGATTAACTGTCTACTATTTGCGGTGCTCAATTTTGGAGTTCGCAATACAAACATCTCCTTTACAGCTATTTACAGGCAGTGTCTCATTGAAATAGTAGTGTCTTCGGAAGTTGGCACACAGTTTTCTGTGAACTTTTTCAAAAGAACACACAAGGACCACCAACATGGGGTGCCAAGTACTGTACATGTTAAATCGTGGGGAAATTAAATTAGAGAAACAGCAGGAATTAAGGAAAAACTGTTCATTTCAGACACTGTAAGAACATGTAGTTTTAATTGTTTCTTCATCTTTCAATTTGACAGCATGAGATATGAAAGAAAGCAGGAAAAAAATCATTTTTAAATCAGAGGGGCTCAGATAGTCACTTTGTATCCACCCCCATTTTCTTCTTTGGCAGAAGTCGAGATATATGCCAGAGTACTGTCACAAGGGGATCTTTGTCTGCCTCACCCATATAGCGATCCTTCACACAGGGGCTCATACAGCAAATGTTGGAAAGATCACAACCCATCTCACTCTAACATCACATACTTTTTTTTCCAGCAGCAGGTACCAAAATGGTGATCAGTGAAAAATATCCCATCTCATCTCTATGTCCACAGGCAGGGAGGACGATGAGAGTGCACCTACTGAAACTGCAGTAGAGATTAGTTAATTCATTAGGGACCATGCTAAAGACTGTCTAGTCTCTATGGTTACAGACCACATTTTACCAGCTGTGTCAGAGAATCTGTGTTCACTGTCTTTATATTGCATAAGACCAGAGAAACCCATGTCAGCACCTCTGGATCCTGCATGAAATATATTTGTCCCCTACTCTCACATGAAAGGTTTTCAGATTCTGCCATTCAATTATATCATCGTTGATCTGCACAACAGCCCCCATTTTTCTACCTTCACTTCATACCATCCACAGGATACTCTGCAGCTGCATGCCAAGCCTTTCTCAACAGCACCCTCCAAACCTGTGACCCCTACCTGCTAAACGGACAAGAGCAGCAGATATGTGGGGACACAACAATCACAACAAGGGCAGTGGTGCTGTAGTGGTAATGTTACTTGATGAGTAATCCAGAGACACAGGCTAATCTTCTGGGGATGTGGGCTCAAAACTCAAATTGTCACTTGTTGTAAAAACCCACCTGGTTCACCTCGGAAAGAAATCTGCTACATCACTCTACACACAATGTTAATGGTCCTCTGAAATGGCCTAGAGAATTAACATATTCATGGGCAACAAATGCCAGCAACAGTCACATACTGTACAACACAGCGTCCTAAATTCAAACTAAACCATTGTTCCAGGGATTTGCAGCAATGAAGGAACATTGTCCCCAACAGGACTGTGGACACACCTACACCACAAAGACTACTGCAGCTTCTCAATGATAACTAAGAATGGGTAATAAATGCTGGCTCAGCAAGTGGCAACATCCTAAGAATAAGCCTGGCAACTAAGCTGGATGGTTTTATTAGGTAAAGCTAATCTCTCAGATCATAATGCATAGGAGCAGAAATTAGGCCATTCGGCCTATCGAGTCTGCTCTGCCATTCAGTCATGGCTGACTGGGGTTGAGAAACCTATCTCCCAGTAACCTTTGATCCCCTTGAGAATCAAGAACCTATCTACCTGTCTTAAATGTACTCAATGACCTGGCCCCCACAGTCTTCTGTGGTAGTGAATTCCATAGATTCACCACTCTCTGGCTGAAGAAGTTTCTCCTCATCTCCATTCTAAAGTGTCTCCCCTTTACTCTAAGGCTATGCTCTCGGGTCCTAGTCTCTCCTGCCAATGGAAGCATCTTCCCAACTTTCACTCTATCCAGACCTTTCAGTATTCTGCAAGTTTCAATTAGATCCTCCTACATCCTTCTAAATGCCATCCAATATAGACCCAGAGTCCTCAAACATTCCTCATATGTTAAGCCTTTCATTCCTGGGATCATTCTTGTGAACCTTCTCTGGACCCACTCCAAGGCCCGTACATCCTGAGATTTGCGGCCCAAAATTGTTCACAATGATTGAAGTCTTGAAAGCTGAAATTGTACAGGCATCAGTATTTTGGGGTGTCAAATTTCACCACGTGGATAAAGTGCTTCCTGATTAATAGGTGCATTCAAAAATCAAAATAAAACCCAGGCACCTAATAGGTAGAGCAGTATGTATGCTGCAAGCAAACCATCGTCCACTCCAATAATCCACTCATGTAAAAGTGTGCAAAGTTCCAGGGATGTGGAACTTCTGTCACATAGATTGGAGAAGTTGGGACTGTTTGGAGAAAATACATTTGAGGGGCATTTGATAGAAAAATTCACAATTACAAGGGTCTAGACGGAGTTGGTGGTGAAAAACAGCTCCCCTTAGGAGGAAGGATCGAGAACAAAACAGGGCGCTGATTAAAAAAAAATTTCAAACAGTGGAAAAGGAAGCAATAGCAACATGAGGCAAACTTGCATGCAGCAAGCAATTAGGATCTGGATTTCACTGCTCAAGAGTGACATAGAGGCAGGCTCAATCGAGGCATTCATGAGGAAGTTGAATTATTATCTGAAAAGGGAATAATGTGCAAAGTTTCACAGAAACAACAGGAGTCTGTCTCGAGGAATTGCTCCTTTTGGAGAACTAGCACATACATGTCAGGCCGGAATGGCCAACTTCTTTGCTGTAATCATTCCATAATTCTGGGCAGCTTTTGCTGATCTTGTCTCTTGCAGATCTTGTCTCTTGCATTGCAGCGAGTTGATGCATTAAACGTTGTGAAATTGCAGCCACAGTAGAAAGCAGAACACTGGCAGAAAAACCAACTGGAGCTTTTCTGCTACTTTCAAAGGCAGTTTGGTCCATGCCAGTGATTGGAAACAGTATAAGCTCATTTTCACAATCAGGCAGAGGGCTCAGCCTACTGGCAAGCCATACACATGCACCAATAACAGGCAGAAAAAAAAACAAAGTACCCAGAGGTCTGCGGATGTTTAAAAAGGACACTTGTGTTCTCATTTCTATCAAATGCTCTCTCCAGGAAAGTACTGGCAAGTGAAGGAGTGGGAGGGATGGGAGCAGAGACAATCTTTCAGACTCCCCTGGTCTTTTTGACATGAGAATGCTAACTATTAGCACTACAAGCTCAAATTCAAATGGAATTGTGTTCCAGCTCATTAAAGTGCACCTTCAAGAACGTCAGATCAACACAGATCAAGGAGATAAACATTAACACCAGCTAATGACTCCAATGGCCTTAATCTACCACTGTTCTCATACTTTTCATGTGTGAAACACTCATTAAAAGCAGTAATGGCTCCTTTGAGAGTTTGTTGTTCAATGTGCAATAAGCCCCTCAAATGAGAGCAGGACTGGTATTTGGTTTCCTCTTCAGTTAAACATGCATATACCAACAACATGCAACTAAATTAAGAAATAAAGATTGCTTAATCACTGTGCTGGCTTCCACACTGAAGCGGGTTGAGGGTCACAGGTGAGCCAGGACTTTGGGAGATGTCCTTAGCTTAGCGGACAGGAGAATGGAGTTTTGGAAGAAAAAAAATCCAGTGGCAGAAGACATTGGTTCAACTTTAAAACATGTATACATACCGAGCTGCCCGTACTCTGGATGGCCAAAAGAGTACAGGTTCCCTTTGCAGTCAGCAATCATACTGAATTCTGCACCACAGGCAATTTTTACAATCGGCTGGCCATTGTACATTATCTAGGGGAATAAAAAAAGTGAAAAGAGAGTACAGAACAAAAGTAATTGATCAACCCACTGAACGATTTTATAACTCTCCATAAAGAAAAACTTTTATATATAAAGTAACATTAAAAAGTATGGTTTTAAATTGCAGTCAACATAATAATTCATTATTCTATGCTCTCCATAGTCTAAATGGCTGTGGATCAGGCTACTTTAGGAGAAACAAATAAAATTTAACAGATGCCGCAGTACCTGCAAGTTCAGTCACTCCCTTATCAAGATTATCTAATATATAGCATAAACTGCTATGACACAAATACATGTAAACTGCCACTCACCCTCTCTCTGGAGCTTTCAAAGAACAATCAATAATAAATATGGAGTGGTGGGGTGGGGGAGCAGAAAACATGTACTTAGAAGCAACCAAAAACAGCTGGAAATCAAGACAAAATGCAAGGCGGCCAAAAGAGAAGCTTTTTAAAAAAATTTGAGTGGTTGTAATTTTAACATAGGATACTGTTTTGCCAAGCACCAAATCAACGTTAACTGGCTTCAGCAGAAAAAGACGTCATAAAGATCACGTATGCACTGTTGCCTAGCAAGGTGTACAGAAATGATTTTTCAAATACAAAGGACTGCAGCCAGTTTTGTACTTTCAATCTAATAGCATATCAATATTAGCATTAATGGCAGAAAATTGTTAATCTACTGGTTTTACTGTTCATTAACCTAATGTAATGGGACATGAAATAGTATATCAGCACATACGTTCAGAAGGCATTGCATTGCTGCTCCTGCACTCTTCAAACAAACTATGTAAAATAGAAACGCAACATCTGAAAGAGGGGAAGGGGAGAAAAATGCAGATAGACTATAACACAAGAGAGTGATTGAGTAATTTGCTGGAAAAAAAGTGTATACGGGAACATGGAGAGAACAACATCAGACACAGCTGTAATATCTCCTTGTAGTGCCATGACAGCTGAACAATATACTGAATTAAAATAACTAGCTAAAGGACTGGAGTAGAATTTTCTTTTTGTTTACACAACAACATTATGTTGCGATTTGAAAAAGGGGGTTGGATATAGATTCAATAGTTTCTGGCTGGGTACATGAATAAGGGTTTAAGAGGGATATGGGTCAAATACTGGCAAATGGGACGAGGTTAGAATAGGATGTACGGTTGGCATGGACAAGATGGGTCTGTTTCCATGCTGTATGACTCTGTAACGTGTGAACACATGAAAAGTGGCTCACTTGGGCAAGTTTCAATAGAGCTTCTAACACCCAGGGAAAGCTATGCAGGCCTGTTATTATAGAAGAGAGAAAAGTGGAAATAGTGAGCAGGGAAGGGGCTGGTAGATGAATGCGAAATATTCATCAAGATAATGGTTTGTCAGATTGACGGGATTCAGTTTACCTGTGAAGGGCAGGGTTCCGCTTCAGTCTGGTTTCCGAGGCCAAGCTGCCCCATTTTATTCTCACCAAATGCATAAACGGTTCCATTTTCTACACACAGTTAAAGTTAAGACAACATAGTAATTAGATTTTCTAATTACAAAAAGTCTACAAACTACAGAGCAAGAGTGAGTCTTCAATGAAGGAGATTAACAGAATTACAACAGACATCATGATGGGCATTTATGAATAGTCATCTACAGGACAGTCAGATTATTGAGAGCTGGTACAAATGTTAATCACTTAAAATGCCAATGTTAACAATGATGACATTGATGTCTTGTTTAAGATGAGTTTTATTAGATCTTCTCTCCTACAATTTCATTTCTTGTCAGGAAACTTCCCTCTGGTGTCAGCCAATAGCTTCCGATCATAGAGAAAATTTGCCTGTTTCATGCAGGTAGAATGGGGGCTCGGACTCAACTGCCTGGACTTCAGGCTGAAAAGCCATGGGGAGGCAAGGGTTTGGCATTTGTCCTACACGAAGCTAAAATTGGGGCCAGTCTCCAGTCTGGTCCCTAGTTTGAATCTGGTGAATCAGTGATTGATAATTGTAACTCAATCTACACAATTTCAATGCAGGAGGAGCAATAAGAATGCAAGGTTCCTGCTTAAGATAGATTTGGCCAGTAAATTCTGCTGGCAACAGCTGTATGATATCAGGTAAAACAAAAAGGAGGTTAGCTGAACAGTCAATCTTTATTCAACTGTCGTGAAGCTCATGGGCGAAGTACTGAAATATAAATAGCAATAGAACAACATGCCAACATATGGATTGTTCCTTCAGGGAGAGGGGAGAAAATGAAATTAGAGGAAAAACAGCCTTCTTTTGCAGCAACAGGGCGATCTGTTTTTGAACATATTCTATTGCAGCCTGATCACAGTAACTCCATTTTTCGCTCTGCCAGCAGGGGAGTAACCATAAAGTTACAAATACAATTAAACAATGGAGTTATTTTGATCCAAGGTTATGCGATTAGGATAGATACTAATTTATGCAACAGTGTTAACTGGCAAGCGTTTTGAAAACCAAAACCTTCCCCAAGTTACATATTGTCCAGTATAGATTAAGAAAGATTTACAAGGATAACTCCTGCAGCATTATTTGTGGTGTTGAAAACACTATCTTGCTTTTGTGTGCGCAATGGACAAATTTGCCTTTTTTCATATGAACTTCTTCACTCCCTAGTGGCTCAGAGCGTTCCCAATAGTCACAGTGAGACCCACCTGACCAGCATGCACTTTTCAGCAGTCAATTACATGCATCCCTGAGGAGTAGTCAAATTTTTTTCCTAATACCTTACCCAAGGACATAGAGATCAATCATTGCAACTCTTAACTTATTCAGAGTGCAGGGATCCAAACTGCGATCTTTTTGGACTAAATGAAAGGCAAGTGTTCTAATTTGCACAATTATTTCACTCCAACAGAATTCTGAAAACTGGAAACTAAACGTTGTAACAAGGGCAAAACAAAAGACAGCATGCGCAAGCACAGCGCGAACCTCAACAGAAGGTAACTAAGTAGGCACGTTCAGTAGAAGTACTTCAGATGTTTAATGCTCCACATCAGATGTCAAAAGTGTTGCTTGCAGGAAAATTTATAGACGAAGGCTTGCACTACACCCAGAAGACAGACAGTCAGCTACTTCAAATGAACAGGAAATTAAATACACGTATCTGGCAACAATCAGCCAAGGGACCCCCACATCAAGTGCTCGGTTTTACTTCCTCTCCAATGAAATGGACATCATTGAGCTCCATGCTGAAGCCTTTCAACTACAAGCTCCCCTGGAAGGTTTTTAAACCCACAAGATTTAAATTCAATCGAATCGGATTAGACAGCAGTTCACCATGCAGAAGTTGGAAAAAAAAAGACTCAGTCTTTGCGAATAGTACTACATATGTAAACCACCAATTAGAAGCCTGTTTAGAATTATCTCAACACCGAATTCTCCCACTACCTCAAGGCTAAAATCGGCTCCATTAAGTCTTTATTCTTAGAAGAGCATCACACACAAAATTTTTGTGAACATGGGTATCCAGAAGGGACAGTTCAAAACAACGTTTCCCAAGTTCTGCCCCATTTTGGTGACTGCAGGCCTGAATGAGATTTCCGACGGGGCAGGATATTAAGAAACCCAGGAGGAGTTGGAGTAGGCATGGTGTGGGGGCCCACACCATTCAGTGAGTGCAGTTCCAAAGTTTAAACAAAAACCTCTTTCCACTGAATTTTTCAGGACAGAATTCAGGTCTCAAAAACAAAAATCAGCCAGTTAGGCCACAGGCACTATTAAAGAAAACTGAAAGATTTAAGAGAGATCATGAAATTGTTACATTTGGTCAGAGATCCACAGCAGACAGTGCTGCCTCTGTGTTCACATCCCCAAAAGTACATCTGCCAACACCACAGGTTTCACCACCTGGAGTTCTGGAAGCCCTGGTCTAAGGTCCTACCTTGCATTGTAACATCAAGCTGGAACTAACCAAACTGCAGGTAGAAGGAGCAAAATTGTTCATTGATACCGCTACGAGCTACTTGGCCTTGTTGGATGAGGAACAACTGCCACTGCTCAGAATGTTCTGCAATCCCACGCATATGTTGTTACTGCACGCATTAATGCTAGACAATTTAGTTGCTACTTTTCAGCTAAGACAGTACTGTACCTCACGTTGTATCTTAACATTGTCTCTCTGTTGGTTATAACATAGTATATATAGACACTTATTTACAGTTCAGTGCAAAACTAAACTTCCAATATTCATCAACTTATTTCAAAAGGGTAACTGGTTTAAACAGTGGAGCTATTCAAATGCTAATAGAACACCAGTTTTTAAGCATATGTTCAGTATTAGCTTTATCTGAAATATGCAATCTTCCCAAAAAGGGAACCGACTAAACCAAGTTCTGTTTGCACCTTATTACGAAACACAATCATTGTTCATTATAAAGTCACAATAAAAACATAGTTTCAGGCCTCCTGCACACTTTGGCAGTTACCTGTTAAACAGAGGCTATGATTACGTCCACAAGCTCCTGCAACTATTGTCTGGTCTTTGAGGGCCTCAATGAGCTTGGGGACCTCCCCTCGCTTTGTGTCTCCATGTCCAAGTTGCCCTTTCTCCCCACGACCTAAAAAGGTGAAAAGAAAAAAAAAAAAACGGGAAAAAGAATGTTTTAAAAATTGCCACTCATGGACACTAAGAGCTATACCTCATACGAGAGTGGCAAGGCCTACATTTTCTGTTTCAGGCCTTCCAAATTAATCATCAATCAACTACTTAACAGGACAGCATCAAGCATTCCCCTGGATCCCAGGAGTGACGGCCCCATTCTTGGTAGCTACATGGATCCAGGCCTCTGGTCAATGATGATCCTTGACATATAATGAGTGAAGGTGAATGGTTATTGGTGGACCCTTTCTTCCTGATGTCAGGTGTATCAAATCAGATTATTAAAGAGTTCATTAGGATAGACATAGAAAATGTGTTTCCACTTGAGGCAGGGGAGAACAAAGAAAATAAACTAGTGGATGTAAATGCAAAGTAAAATTAAACAAGGAAATGCAGGGGAAATTTCTTTACCTAGAAATTGGTTAAACTTGGAACTCACTACAACAAGCAGTTTAGAACAATGGCATAGATTAATTTAGGGGAATGCTGGATTAGCATGTGAGAAATGAAGGAGTTAATTGAAGGAGTGGGAAGGGTATAAACATCAGAATGCACGAATTGGGTTACATGACCGATTTCAATGCTGTAAATTACATTTCCATCACAGCAAATCACTCAAATACATGGCAGGTTGAACAGCAGGATGGAAAAGGAATCAGTAATTCACCTTCTCCCAAGAAAGACGGCGGGATGAAATTGAATAACGAGTCAAGTCTTCCCTCAACAAGAGGACAAACAACTTTCGGCTTTTTAGGTGGTTAATCAAGTTTTGAAGTGCATTCAAGAGTATTTGCGTGCAAACTTGATAAGCAAATTTTCGTCAGTCAGTAACTGACAGATGATTAAAGAGATAAAAGTAATGGGAGATTATCAGGATTCACAAAGTTCTCAAACTCAATCCAGCTGCACTTCTTACAGTTTCCAGCTACCTACCCCAGCTCCAGATCTTCCCTTCTGTTGTAATGATGAGATTATGAGCAGCACAAGATCCTGACGACACTGTCCGCACTCGTATTCCTGAGAGACACCCGTAACGATTTGGACCCCACAGATTCTGCCCCAGGTTGCGGTATGCAGCTGAAATAAATAAAGCAAGTTTAGCGATAGCCCACCAACAAATGTCCAAAATAACAATACCACATAGTTGTCTGACACTGTCATTCACCCGTCACAAACAGAAAATTGTTGGTTCTGGGATTACTGTACTGTAATTACCAGATGTGTGCAAACAGTGTGACCACCCAAGTTGCTCCTCAAATAAAACAGGCAAGTGATTCTCAAAGTGTATACAGCAAATAAAATGAATATCTAATGAAAACAGGTTAAAAACCAGTTGAACTACTAACAGCCAAATGGAAGTGGAGTGTCAAGTCTACTCCACAACATTTTAAGTCTCAAAACACCAGTGATGTTTTGAGTAAACAGATAGCAATTCAAATAGAACTATTTAATGAAATGGCCTCACACAAACCTCATCACAGGCAGAAATCAGAAGACATAGGAAGCTTGTCATTCATACAGTTACAGTTTTAAAGTGAACTGCAAAAGGGGAGAAATTTGAGGTGATAAAATTAAGAACATATGGAGGACCAAATTGAACAGCCCTGGAAACAGCCAAAGGGATCACTTTGAACAATTAGCCCCTACCCATCGATTGCAATACAGGCATCTTGCCAATGCTTTCTGCCTGCTCATTTCAATAATTTCAACACAAAACAAAAATCGACCCAAGCTATTATAAAAGCAAAATATGGCTGATAATGGAAATCTGAAACAAAGACAGAACAGTGGAGAAACTCAGCAGGTCTGGCAGCATCTGTGGAGAGAATAACAAGCATGAATGTTTAATCTGATGTGACTTCTTCAGAACTGAAGAGGAGTCTGAAGAAGTCAGACCGGACTAACATTAACTCTTATTCTTTCCACAGATGCTGTCAGACCTAGACTTTTTCCACTATTTTCAGTGTTTGGTCCAAGCCTGGCTATTGGCTGGCTACAGGGGGTCACTAGTGCAAGGGCTAGCACTACGTAACACTAACATTTATTGGTGGTCAGCAAATAGTCAGTCATTCCAGAAGTGAATGTCACCTGGGAATCATTGAAGAATGGCACAAGATTGCTCCAAGATTTCTGTATGCTGCCTTGGAAATCTTAGTTGATGATTTGGAGGATTAGGGGAGGAGAAGAGATGAACTTCCTGCAGACAGGCTCAGAAGACTGTGGGGGCAAATTGGTCAAGGCCAGAAATCTAATCTCAAAGCGGTGCCACAAGATCAACAATAAGAGGGCTGGTTAAGGTTAGTGAATGAATCTTCAAATGTCATATTCTAATCACCTGTACCAATGAACTCAGGAACTGCTCATTGCACCATGTCGCCACCATTTTACAGCTAATAACCTTTATTAAATCAAGGCTCATACCTGACATTTGTATATGTTTGACTATATACTCAAACCTTCACATCTACACCACACATTAACTATTCAATCAAGACAGTCAGTCATTGTTGGCTAAACAGACTGCACAGTACCCTTCCCCCGCTCTTTTAGGGGAAGGCAATGCACAAACAGAAAGTAACTGAAGAGGTGGGGTAAGTGAACCGGCATGCCCTAACCCCTAAAGAAAGGAAATGGCAATGACTTTTATGGAGTCTGAAATTGTTGCAACAAAAAAAAAGTGGGGATGAAATCATTGAGAATATATTCATCCTCCTGGCTGCTGTCAGGCAAGGATCATCTAACTATCATGCAAGCTCAGACTGCTGTTATGGTTGGGGATTTCTGTGCAAAGAGACATCGAGGACGTCACGTCAATTCAAATATCCGTTCTCTAACAGGTTACTACAATAGCTGAATTAGATTCTGGGTGGTGCACTGGCAGCAGCTCAACTCTCAACATCTTTGCTGTTGCCCATCAGCCAGTTCAGGCCCATTTAGTGTAACGAAGTCCAAAGCCATAGAAGCACTCAGACTGCCACTGACACAAGACCGGCATTAAGGTAATGCACAAGAGCTATTATGGAATTATCAATGCAATGCGTTTTCATTTATAAATTTGGTCTGTAACATTGATTTTGTGCTGGCTTTGATTTCTGCATGGTGGCTGGATCCTGTGATAGCCAGTAGCAGAGGGCAGGCAAGATGCAGGACTATTTGCTCATGGGAAATTGGGTTATAGTTCTTGGTATTGCTCTTGGATGAGTTCTTCATTGATTGCCTTTTTGCAGAGCTGTGTGTTGGTTTCCTCCTTCCTCCTCAGCAACTCATTGAGTAACTACTACAAGCAATCTCCTCAAAATAGGAAGGTTGTGCAATGTGCAACATACCACTTACACCCTCCTCAGTGTTGAGTGCAATTCACCCACAAGTGTGCACACCCCCACCATCTTTTGAACTCAAACCTAAAACATTGACTCTAATAAAACTGATTGCTGAACCTCATTTTCACACTCACAGATACCAGTGCCAACTGGAAAGGGTAAAGACACAGCTACACATTAGGAAGCGCAATAACCTACCTTGTTGCTTAGGAACTTCTTTACGACCAATCAAGTCCCAGTTTGTGGCTCCACAGATGAGAAGCTGACCTTTGCACTTGGATCCTTCTAGTTTCTGTGGGAAAGCATTGAGAGAAACACTTAGGCGGAGAGATATGCAAAAGAGAAAGGGTCATTAAATTATATGGCAGCAGAAACATGACGACAATCATTTCCCATTTTCCGTCACATGAAAATTTGAGCTGCTGGCTTTTAAAATTTAAAAAAAAGACAGTTGTGGCAGACATACACAATGGCTTCCTGGTCCAATTACATCAGTATATTAGATGAAACACCTATAACAGAAACAACTCTTTGTGCATCCCCACACCATAAATCTAAAACAAAACTGACATAAACACACACCCACACACACAGTAGAAATCCTGAAGACAGCAGAATTACATAGAATTTACGGCACAGAAACAGGTCATTTGGATCAACTGGCCTATGCTGGTACTTGTGTTCCACATAGGCCTCCTCCTACCCAGCAATATCGCTAGTTAAATACTGCGGAGCCTGGAAATCTGAAATAAAAACAAAGAATGCTAGAAACATTCAGCAGGACTGTGGAGAGAGAAACAGATGAAAGATCAGACCGAAAATTTTAATCTCACTTCTCTTTACATAGATACAGCTACTCTTCCGGAGTTATCCCAGCATTTTCTGACTTTATTTCAGTATTGCTACTTATTACAAAGAAGAACGCCGGATGATACAAATCTGAGGAAAATCGACAAACTCTACTGACCTAGAAAGTGTTTCCAGCATCTTGTCTGAACACTTTTTGATGGCATTTCGATAATTAAGAGCAACTTAGTCATCTGACTTAAGACAAATCAGCAAACCACAATCTTCTGCATGCCAAGGCTGCAGACAAGCCCAAGTTGAGAGATCAAAAGCCCATTTAGTTCATAGGCTTGCAGAGTGCACCAGAAAACTCTTCACAGAATTGGCATGATGGAACCACCCACAAACCTCTGATTTATGACTTCATCACACGTCAAAACCTTCGTGACAAGCGCATGTTAAAAAAACACTTTCCAAAACAGCCCCATCAAAAGAAAAATCTAAATTATGGAACGGCCCGTTTCTGTGGGTTTTTTTGGAGCATCTGCTTCAAAACAGTAACAAAAGCCTTCCATGAGTCAGTGCTCCCATGGCTAGCTCCACAGACTAAGACACAAAGGCACGTCTTAAAGACAACAGGTTTTACAGTCACAAATCTAGGAGTGATCAAAATAACAAGATAAAGAGGGGTCCTATAAGTGTTGCATTTTAGCTCTTTTTTGGAAAACAATAATAATACCGAGTGTTCCCATTTTCTAACAGTCTGGTCCATGTAGCTAGCCACATTACTGGGGATCAAGTGATGACAAGTCTTCAATGGGCCTTTCCATTTCTAGCTGGTTCTCAAATCTCCTGAGACCAGTAGCTAGATGTGCAAAGTTAGATTCAACACATCTGTGATCTATTTGATACACAAAACCCCTATAAGCAAAATGGCTTTTTAGACAAAAGCATCGAGACATCAATGGAAGGGATGGTGCTGGAAAATTGCACATTCCTAAGTGATAGTTAGTTTAATTTTGGATCTCTAGCATCAGCAATGCTGGTCATCAGGAGTGGCTTTGCAATATGTTGTGACAGAATGGAATCACATGGCTCATCATTAGCAAATAGCAACGCAGTCTTCATCTGGCTACAAATCAAAAAACAAAAAATTCCAAGTATTGAAAGCACTTATTTTAATTTAGTCCTTCCTTTGCCATGTTAACTAACTCCACCCAGCCAACGAGTCTTCTGCATGACTTGCAGGAAAGGATGCAGACCACATCATATTTGCAGATGGAGACACAGACACAGACACAGTCACGTACAATCTTCTACAAAGAGAGAGAGTGAGCGATTCAGTGACACAGGGACAGTAAAGGCCATTCAGACATCAGGCCTAGCTTACCATGCAATATAATCACAGCCGATTGAACACTTCAATACCTTTTACCCATATTATCCCCATAACCCTGTATGCCACTCGTCAAAAATTATATCAATTGCTACCCGAAACATTCTCAAAGACTGAGCTTCTACAGTCAGCTATGGCAGAGAATTCAACAAGGTTCACAACTCTTAAAACAAAAACAAAAATCTCAGATTGCACCCAAATGGCATCCCACTTTTTTTTTTTTTAAAAAAAAACTGCACCCATCCCACTCCACTTTTGACTCACCAAGCACAGAAAACATCTTACCTGCATCTAGCCTGACTGATTATCTCGAAGTATTTTGGAAGTTTCAGTAAGATCACCTCTCATTCTTTGAAAGTGCAGAGAATCCAGGCCCAGTGGGGTAGACAGAACATGTGGAGTGGGGTTGTTTATCAGATTGGCTTTGAGGCTTCAGAGAGAGACACTCATCTCTTTGGGTATGGAAGCTTGGTGCAATGCCTTGGAGGCAGGCCTGCAGAATAGTTCTTCCTACATCTTGGTCTATTTGTCCAGCAACAGGTCATTTGATCTGATTGACAGCACACATTTTCCCCACAGTTCTGATGATTAGGCTGTGCCATAGTGATCCATCATCTCACTGCCAAGATGTACAGATTCTGTATCAGTTCTGGAATCTGGAAAGTTAGGTCACTTCATCCAGTACATCTGCTTCTGCCATCTCCAAGATGGAGAATTTCAATCAAGACCCTGCTGATTTTACACCATAAAAATCTAACAGACCAATTTCATCAACGTGCAAAGATACTCTACAGATACACCTCAGATCTTTAACGCTTACTCCAAACAACACTGAAAGCTCGAGGTTTCTCAAATTGTGCTCATCACCCTCTTGAGACCAAGAGGAATGCTCATGTCCCTCACTTGCAGGGTAATCAAAGAGGATCAACCTCAAATCTTGCACAAATCTCACCTTGACAAAAGTGCAAAAAATTGCTAGCCGAGTGTTTACCTTGCCCTATAAAAGCAACTAGTTTGAGATTACCACAAAAAAAAAGGTCAATATGACTGAATATCTTTCACAAAACACCTTTTGTTTCTGTGGCTATATCATCATTAAGAGGAATAATACACATATCATCCCAGGATGGAGTGCAAAGTTTGAATGTTGAAGGCTTTTGATATACTCAAAACAAAATAGGTAGAAAAGAGACACGAAAGCACATGATAGGCAGCTTTAAAATAATGAAGACTACCCATCGTTGCATTTTTATGGAAGAACTGTCACAAACTTAAAAAAGAACAATGTTGAAGGCAACTGCTATACCAACATATTTGTTTTTCACCTTGCAAGAGCTTTTTGTGACATGCAGGGCTTAGCCATATTTAAACAGTACATATTCCAACAAAACGAAAAAAAATGAGTGTTATAGTCAACCTAACAAGTAAAATTGACTCATTCTGTCCTGTACAAACTAAAGAAAACCTCTAGTTCAAATCCAGACTCTTGAATATGAATACAGGAAAATCAGATTCAAATCCTCCTGGCATTCACTATCAGCACTTAGACAAATTAGCATTAGACACCAGAAGCAATCACTGCATCCAGAATGAAGAAATTTGGAGAAACACAAAACATGAAGTGTCAAAAAGTATGAGTGTTTATAACTTCTGTACTTGTTGGGCTTATGTCTCACTTCCAGTACCAAAAGGACTTAGCAGTGCAACATCACAAACAGCAAATTCAAGCAGTAAAGTCTCCACTGAAACGTTTTGCTGAAAGGCACTGTCCCATTTTACAAACTACAAAATTAAAGTTTAAATGGCACAACAGTAGTCCAGGATCAATGGCCTTGCAAAGAGGCCATTTTGTACTGCCATCCATTAGAAGCAAAGGAAGCTGCTTCCTCAGATTTCTGAGATCAGATCCAGAGACTTACGACACAAAGGACCCAGATAAGGACATTTCTAAACATTTCAAGCATATTATTAAAGGCGAGATTGAGAAGCCAGAAATTATTGTACACATTGGTAGGAATGACATTTTTAGGGAAAAGATTAAAGCAGTATAGTGAATTTAAGAAGTTAGGTAGAGTTTATATAAAAAAAACTTAAAACTAGTAATTTCAGATTTACTCTCAATGCTAAACTCTAATGAGGGCAGGAACAAAAGGTTAAAAAGGAAATAATTCAATGACTGAAGAGCTGGTGTATTGTTCAGGGATTCGAGTTTTTGGACAATTGGAATGTCTTTTGGGACAGAAAAGACCTGTTCAAAAAGGATGGGTCTAACCTGAACTGTAAAAGGGACCAATATCTTAGCAGGCAGATTTGCTCATTCTATCAAGGGAGACTTTCACACTGATAGAGAAGGCGAGTGGAAGAATTCTAAGTAGTAGTGTAAATGGAAGAATTGATGGGGTAGGTTCTGAATGGAGGAAAGCACATCAATTAGAAAAGACAAGAGAGTCAGGGTATGTAGTAACTCTGGAGAACTAAACTGCATTTACTTCAATGCAAGGGGTCTTACTGATAAGGTGAATGAATTCAGGACATTTTTTAAAAAAAAACAACACAGGATTGGGACAATATAGCTATTACAGAAACTTGGCTGAGATGGAGAAGACTAGCAGATCAATGTTCCTGGTTTTAGATGTTATAGGAAGGATGTAAAAAGGAGTTGTGGGGTGGGTGACGGACTCAGTTTGTGGTGTTTTTGATTAAGGAATACATTACTGTTATCACTAGGGAAGACTTGATTCTGAAAAAACAAGTTACCCAGTGAAAATATATGGGCAGAAGTTACAAATAAGGAAGGAAAGATCACTTTGATGGGATTGTACTAAAGGCTCCCCAAAGGGGAGAGAGAAATGGAGAAACAAATATGTAGGGAAATCTCAGGCATATGCAAGAATAATATGGTTGTAATAATGGGGGTGGGGGTTTAAATTTTCCAACCAAACATTGACTGGGACTACCATAGTGTTAAGGTTTGGGTGATGAAGAATTTGTCAAATGCACTCAAGAAAATTTTCTTTATCAATACTTGGATGCTCCTACTAGAAAAGGCACAAAAACTAGACCTACTTTTGAGCAATAAAGCAGGGCAGGTGACAGAAGTGGGGGAGCAC